CACCTTCCCCTTGCCAAAACCAAGCCCATCTCTCTAGCGTGGTCGAGCTAGACGAAACATCCCGAGGCTTATCTCCTAGAGATATTGTCCGAGGAGGGGATGGAAGTCCTAACGATGCTACCCTTGGTACATCAATGAGCTCAGGCCATCAGTCAGACCCTGTGTCGAAGCTGATGACAACATCCCGAGGCGTATCTCCCAGGGATACCGTTCGAGGAGGGGATGGAAGTCCTGGTGATGCTACTGTAAGTACATCCTCAAAAGCAGGCCATCAGTCAGAACCCGGTTCTAAACTGATGTCAACGGGCAATCCAAATGAACCCGGTTGTGCTACCCAAGAACAATCACCGCTCCAACAGCAGCAAAGAGTTCCATACATTCCCCCAGGCAAGGACATCCATGACGCACTGGAGGATGTGGTGATACATGATAAATGGCCAAAACAATGGACAGAATGGGATGATCTCCGCAGTGAGGCCGAGATAGATGACATGCAGAGAAACTGGTGGCTTCGAGAACTACTGACCAAATGCGCTGAAGACATTGTCAGGCTCGAGGAAGATGAAATCAAGGAAGGGGAGAACTACAAAGAGACCCAGAGGAAGATTGAATCTATAGTAAGACAAACGGCGGGACGACTTCCCAAAGCCGAAAAACCCTGGAAGAATGTTAGGATAAGAGCCCCCTTCCAAGAGGAAATCAGAGAGCGCATCTGGCGTAGACCGGACAAAATCAAGCCCCTGAATGAGCTAAAGCTTCGAAGTCTCACACACCTCAAAGGAAGACAAGCAGGAGGCCATCTACATATGCTGATGCATCGATCATCCGGACCTCAAAGAGCTGCACTTGAAAAGGATCTGAGATCCAGCATTCATCCGGTTCATGATATCCTGGAAGTCAAGGCTGAAGATCATAACACAATCAGGTTCTACTCCTATAAGCTGAGGCGCACAGACAGAAGCATATTTACTTGCCAAGAGAATGACTTCATCATGATGAAACCGGATGACATATATCAAATGTTCATGGCATATAGATACTTTCCAATCAGGAAGAGTAGAGATTACAGAGAAGGTTTTGAAGCCATCAAACGATTCATGCTCCGACAAGTCCGAGTTCATTCCACCCACGACCTGCAGATGGCTATAGAAAACAACTTGTCAAAGACAAATCTTGCACAGCCACGTCTTCAAGGTCCAGAGATCAATGACTTCCCAGCTTACCACATATTCTTCAGTCCACCAGCAGTCACGTATCTGAATCACAAAAATGAAAAACGCTTAATGATGGTCAACGAAATTGCAAAGTACTGTGATGGAACTCTGAAGATCATCAAAGAGCAGCTGCTGAAACTAAAAGAAAAACTGGACAAAAAGCTTGCAGACGCATCGTCATACACTCAGAAGGAGCACACAACATTGACAACCATCCTAAAGGCAATTGACGATCGCCTTGACAAGAGGAACATCCTTAGGCAATACGAGCATGCTCTCAATATAAGAAAACATTATTACCAAGCTCAGAAGGAAGAGAAGACAGCACTTGATCACAAAGGGGGAGATTGTTGAAGATAATTTTATTGTGATTCAAGTCTGTCAGTTTTGTCTGTAATAGTCTAGTTTACTATTTCCATTATGCACTGATATATTGTATCTCTTAGAATATTATTTAATATGGGCCAAGTGTTAGGCCCATACAAAAGGCTAAAAGCCTTATTCGCCTACCTGAATCTCGACTATAAAAAGGGAGCCGAGGATTCAGGATTAGGTTAACTTTCGTACTTATTCAATATAGCCTTACGCAAATCTTTCTGTGTACGAGTTCACGGTATATCAAAGAGGGTTTTACATCGATTCATCTGTGTTCATCCTTACGTTTAATCTTCTTTGTTATACTGCTATTCATTGCTGTTACAGAAACAGGGACTATCACATTTCTTGAGTCCAACTCAACTACATCACCATGCATGTCATCAATCACCACGTCATGTCTACCCAATGCAATTCTAGAGCACGGGCTCAAGTACAGCTCCTTACATTGGCATAGACCCCAAATTCTTAAGCACACGATATGCCTAGAATTTATAATATCAATAATCTAAATTGGGACATCCTTACGGACTGCCTCATCATGATCTTACATCATATTACATCAACTTTAGTCACTTTCATCACAATCAAGTACATCAATTACAATCAAATCCTTAGATTCAATTCCTTAACAATTGCAACAATCCTTAACTAGTATTTCAATACTATTAAGATTATTCTTATCCAGCATATATTCCGTTTGTAAATCCCTACATATTTAGAGATATGTAGCAGCAACATAATCATCCAATGTAATACATAAATAATCATTTATGTATCTACACAATTCACACATGAGTAAAAATGCTTATTTCACACAATAGTTCATTTAACTCCATTTTTATCAATATGATTTCCAAATCATTTGTATTTTCATTCCTTATCTAATATATCAATATTTCATCAAAAATCAGTCATTATAATCCATGAAAAAACATGATTTAGACATTTAGGTAATCTCATGCTTAACCTACAAGTTGTAAGCAACTAGATGTCGATCCTCACCTCAAATGAGCTTTAAATTGTTCCTTCTCAACCCAATGCTCAAACTTCAGCCAATGGGGTTTGGGAATTGATTCCTTGCTTATAAATGGGTGTTAAACAGCCTCCTCAATGTGCCTGCTCAAATCCTAACCGAAGACACGAAAACAGCCACTAGAACGGGTGTTTTCCGTCGAATTCGTTCTCTAACCTTTCAAGGTTTTTTCTAGGTTAGTATCTAACCTTTCAAACAAATAAAGTTGATTCATAATAACATATTATACACTTCAACCAGTGTATAATAGTTATTCAATCATTTATATGATTTAGACAATAGAGAGGAAGGTTTTGGATTCAAATTTACTTTGAATACCGAAAACGTATTCTGCAAGGTTTCGTTGTGTTCGGACGATTTGGAGGCTTTAAGTTGCTCCGTTTTCTTTAAACCGCACGTCTATGGATTCCTCTTCTCGAGATCTTTCCGTGGGAAGCTCACACGTCTTAATTGGATGAGTGAAACTCAAGATATGAGTCGAACGAGAAGGCCTACGCATCTGGAAAATATCCTGCGGCCAACTCTCCTATTTCTCCTCTTCTTGGGTGTGCGGCTCATCTCTCTTTCTTATCTTTTGAGTTCGAATGAGGGTGAGGGGAAGGTGTTTAGGAGCTCTCAAAACGTTATCTAAACGTGTGGCTCAAAAAAATAAAAGGTAGGGTGTTTGATTGCAACTAAACATGGGATGGTCCTCCTCTTTTATTTCTTTTTGTATTGTTTGAGCTCTCAACTCCATAGGTCCGCCCCATTTATGTGTTCTAACTTATTCTACCTGTTTTGCCGGTGCTAGGAAGGTGTGGGGCGTACTCTCATGTCCCCTAATTAATTTGGGAGCAAAATATCCACCAATACTTCCAAAAGTGGAAAGATGAGTCCTATTGTTTTTATCTTTTGTCGTAAGATGTACTTTTTGTATTCATCCCAATTTATTTAGATCAAGTCAACCTTCTACATCATACTCCCTCCGTCCCATAAAAGTTGGTCAATGTTGACTTGCACGTAGATTAATAAAGTAAAAAATGTGTGGTTGATATTTGTGTAGAGGAAAGAGAAATAACTTTAGCCACATATTTTCTACTTTAAATGGAAATGGCAAAGTTTTTTGGGACGTTCAAAAAAGGAAAGTTGGCTAAGTTTTATGAGACGGAGGTAGTATTATTGATCTATAATATGTGTAGGATGGTCCCCATAATTTATGTGATGTATAATTATAAAAGAAAACTATACTCTCATTATTTAGCCTAATAATGCCAAAGATGAGATCATATGCATTTGTATTTTTTTCCAATCATTCAATCACTTATTTATGATATTAATATTTATATAGCTGGGCTACTAACCGTGTGGGTCACCCTCCAATGGGTCTAGGACGTCATTCTTGAATAATTGCTATTTTTAGCAGTTTAGGCCCAAAATAACATTTGGGCTGCCCGACCGCTCTTACTTTGTACGGAGGGGTTATATATTTTTATTTAAGAATGTTGGGCCCCAATATCAAGAAGATGACCCCTTTAATTATTTAAAAGTCCATTACTATTATACGAGCCCAACAATAATATGATTAATCACACTTTACGTAAAACTTTAATCGTTTTACAATTGTTCGATAATAGGAACTTTAGTACATAGCTTTTGAAATTAAATTTGAAATTTCAAGGACGTTCGGGTGCGAGACTTCAATACTCTCCTCACGAGTCACAACTAGAGACTTCATGTTAGATTTGATTAAAAATATACAGATCAGACTAAATTAGAAAAATTCAGATCAATCAAACTAGATTTTAAAAAAATCAGAAAAACATTGAGATGAACGAAAGAGCTTCTAATTTTCTACTACATACGTTATTATTATGATTTTTGGGGGGAATTTCCGAAATAGAGTAAAAAAGTTTGAAAATTCCAAAATAGAGCTGTCATATTTTATTCTCAAAATAGAATTAATTTTTGTCAAGTTTACAAAATATTACCATGTTTAAGGTCTTATACTGTCAAAACATTATAGTAATTGTTCATATTTTGAAAATAAAAATATAATTGTCCTAAATTGGAATATATGCGCCTACCCATAATTTCCCTTGTTACCCGCACGGGTAGCTCAGTTGGTTCAGTGGTGGGAAATTTGGACCAGATCAAGGTTCGAAACCCGCGGTGGCCGTGTGGAGGTCAAAGAACCTGAAATAAGGCTGTGCCTCTGATGCGCACGGAAAAAAGGCTTATCATCATTGAGCCGACTGAGTCACCGTGATTAACATCCTCCCAAAAATCCTGTCGGATCAGGGTATGAGAAGCTCCTCGGTGGGAGATTCCGTCTTTTGGACCAAGTAAATCAGATCAGTTCGCTTGTTTTTTTTTAACACGGGGTAGTTGATTGTGTAATTGTTTTTTGTTTTGTAATTGTGTCCGGATTGTCCGAGGGTAGTTTGCCAGCTACTGAACTACCGACCTTTTTCAGGTCAAGTTGGGACTCTTGATTGCTCCCTGAACTGAACTGAACTGAAGCGGTGTTTGATGATATTTGGATGCCGCCCTCCGCTTTCTCACTACCATCTATCTTCCTTCCGCATTCTTCACCCTCCCAAGCTCCCCCCGTTTTCTCTTTTCGCTTTCTCCGCATCTGCCCCTATGCCTGGTAAACACCCCATCTCTCTCCCAAGCTCCTCTTCTGTATCTCCATGCGTGTAATGAACTACAGACAGCACCGTGGTCCTGTGATTTTACTTTAATTTTTAATCGTTTTTAATAATTGGTTAGATATAAAGATGGAGTCTTCAACGCCTTCGCTTATGGTGTTATGCGGGAAATCGGAGGCTGAGAATGATCTGGCGAAATCACTGAAGAATAACAATGCCCTGAAACTGCCCGGAGATGATGGATTCGAAGTTGTTCTGCATTCGGAGGTTGAAAGTGGACTTGGAAACGAGGCGTTTCGCGTACGCGATTACTTTAAATGTCTCTCCACTGCCACTGGACTCGGGAGATTTCTTGTTTACTCTCCCGGACTGTCTTCGACCCAGGATGTCGTTTCAAGGTATGCATTTTTGCGTTTTTTATGAATGCCTGTGTTGAGTCTTTAGGGTATTGATTAATTCTTCTTAGTTTCCCTGAACATTGCATATTTATGTGTCATCACCCACTTAACAATGGTTCAATAGCATTTGGGCGTCTATTGTATGACAATGATATTGCACCAGGTAGAAAGACCCAATTCAGAATTTTATTGTTTTAAATATGTCAAGAACTGACCCAACCCAAGCATTTCCCACTACCTTGAAGGCTTGAAGTCACCCTTGTGCCACTGATTTTTTTTCCTACTCATTTTCTACAGCAATTTCTGTGAGCTGCCAGTTGGTGCCGTTTGTGTTGCTGATGTGCAATTCAAGGGGCGAGGTATTATTGGAGTTGTAATGTTTAAGTGTATGGTCATGCTTTTTATGGGATAACTTATCTGTGTGTCTGCTTTTGGAACTAAGGACGCTCAGCGAATGTATGGGAATCTCCAAAGGGTTCCCTTCTTTTTTCATTTACTTTACAAATGGTAGATGGACGAATGGTGCCACATGTGCAGTATGTAGTCAGCCTTGCTATGACGGAAGCCATTAATGATCTCTGCAAGCAATTCGTAAGTACATTGCAAACTTTTATTAAATTGCTGTGTTGAATGCAGGAATTATAAACAGAATGCTTTGTACTTTATTTTAGTAGCATAAAATCTATAATCCAAATCTAGCCTCCTCCCCCCCCAAAAAAAACATCTTCCTTGGTTTTCAAGGGAAATAAAAATAAGACCACTTGCTTACCGTGATATTGTTTGGCTCACCTTCCTAGCATACCAAACTCCTTGCAACTGTGAGGAGGTCTTTCATTCTTTCAACGGAAATATTTACCGCACAATAGATTTTTTTTCTTCAATTACTGTCCTAGGAAAGTGATTACCTTCCTGGATGGAACAAGTACTGTCATGACCAAAGGGTTGATTCTACTTAAAACACAACTCATCAAATGGAAATTTGACTAAGCTATATCATATTTAACTTTTTTGAGGTTCCTTTCTTTGACAAAGCACAATAGCATAGATAAAAAATAGTTTTGTTTGTTATTTTTTTATAGAAAAATTGTTTTAAAAGCTTGTTTTTTTGACGGAGCAACTGAATAATTTGAGGAATGAGCAATGTTGTATTCCAATAAGTGATTTTTTATAGATTTTTTTATTTTATTGTAATATGATGACTATAGGAAACATAAAGTTGTGATGGAAAAGTTTTTAAAAACTGATTTCTATGCATTTCATTTCAGGGCGCATCACATCTTAATGTAAGAATAAAGTGGCCGAATGATCTTTATTTAGACGGTCTTAAGGTTGGTGGCATTTTGTGCACTTCAACATACAAGTCCCAGAAGTTTAATGTCAGTGCTGGTAAATATATTAAGTTTTTCAATGAAATAATTTATTATGAGTTTGTTCAATCAATGAACTTACCATGATGTTTTCCTTTTTCTTCATTCTTTCCTTGTTTTATTGTTTATGTACTTTCCCTTTTGGGTACTGTGGCTTCAGAAGTTGGTGTAGTGCTTCCATCCACAAATCTTCTTATACTTGTTTTGCAACATGGTTTTGTGTGCTGTTGATTTTTTTGGGGAACTCCGTTGCTTAAATGCGGTGACTCTTGAACAATATGACTATTGGAGTTTTAGGTGATGTATACGTGTATCAGTTGAACATTTCAAAATCGTGACTTAATGCTTGTTTCAATTTCTTACTGTTGTGTAGGAATAGGCATAAATGTGGATAATGAAAAACCCACGACATGCTTGAATGCTGCTCTGCAAAAATCAACATCTGCCTGCAATTTATTAAAAAGAGAAGGCATTCTTGCAGCATTTTTCAATAAGTTTGAGACTTTGAATGAAACTTTCTTAAAAAAAGGTCAGAAATTATTATGTTTGGGGTATATATGTCATCTGCCATATATTTCAAGAGATATTTGTTCCTTATCCCTAATACTGTATCTAAAATCATTTAAATTCTAGAATCGATGCTACAAACTTGCCAGCTTTTAGAATTATAGGCCACTACAATTGTTATTTAATCATGTGATTTCGGCTGTAATGATTTATCTAGTACATTAGTCCCACACATTTTTTATTGTGTGTTCATCATGTTGATCATTGCTGTGCTGTTGTATTTTAATCTTCATGCAGGATTTCAGCCTCTTGAGGAGTTGTACTTTAAGTCCTGGCTCCACAGGTAAAAAATGCACTTCCTGTGTTTAAAGTAAAATCTTCCAATAGATGATTTGTTTGACTTGGATATATCGGGCAATCATCACTAAACATGACTGCACTTGTTTGACATGATTATATATGATGTTCACAATGTTTTCCCACCACCTTTTGTTCTTACTTCATAGTATGTTTTAAGTGTTTAAAGATTATGCTACTGGATATCCTGAAGCCCAAAAAGGGAGCGGCAAATTTAGCAAGCTTAATATTCTTGATTTTATTCTCACGTATTTGGTGGTACTCATTTTACTTGTTTATGCTTTGATGCAGTGGGCAGCGAGTTACTGTACAGGATGTGTCTGAGAAACAAGATCAGTTTGTCGAGAATGTAGTCACTATCCAGGTCATTGCCTCTAACTTTTCTGCAAGAAATCTAAATTTTCCTGTTACGTTTGAATATCAGAATTCCACTTCAAGTTCGCGGTTTGAGGCAAAAATTTTGTTTTGTCAATCCAAATAGTTTTGACTTTTGACTTTGAATTTGTTTTAACCCAAATCCTAGACTCTTAAAATAACTTATCACCAAGAATTTCAAATTCCGCACAATAGATGAAATTTTAAATCATACATATATGATATATATGTCTATCTCTCTCACACACACAACACACATTGGAAACCGTTTTAAGGACTTTCAAGTCTTCAACTCATTGAGTGGGGATGCTCAATCTGATACTGTAAAAACAATTTGCTTACTTACTTAGGGGTTTAAACTTTAAAGATTATGGATCATCTTAAATTGTAATGTTTAAAGGATAAATCATTTTATGAGAATCACACCGAAGTCATTTTGAAACTTCTTTTGGTTTTGAGGATCAAAAACCATTTACAGTCCCTGTTAAAAGTCTTGCATGAAGTGAAGCCTTTCGTCCTTACATAGGCAATGCCCCTTTAATCACGACTTTTTAATGTGTTAGCACAAGAATCAATATTTTTCTATTACTTGATGTATTTCATTCATAACCATTAGTAACTAGGCAGATGTGATATTCAAATTGATCAGTCAAATTGTTCAGACATTTTTGGAGGAAGTATTATAAATATGGTTGAAATCCATCTTCTATGGTTTCTCAAACAACAATTTTTGATATAAAATCTGATACTTGATATTTTTGTAATTTCTTAAACACCAGAACTAGTATTGAATTCCAATATCTTAAGTTATGGAATTGATATTTAAATATTCAATTCAAGTCCAAAGATGCCTTTCTAACTTTGCTATGCTCTACAATTTGGTGAGGTGTCATAAGTGTCATTTCACAGGCCATTTTTTCATTTTTACGTGTCTACCACTTCATCTTGAATTGCTGAGTTTTTTTTATCATTTCTGCAATTAGGGCTTATCACCCTCAGGTTACTTATTAGGCATATCTGATGATGGGCAAACATGTGAACTTCATCCAGATGGTAACAGGTATATAGTTTTATCTCATTCTTGTGTTTTTGAAGTACTGGGCAGAACTGGAGGGTCCTTATCAATGCCACAGTAGTGATGGGAAAAGGGGAAGAAAGCATTGATATTATGGGCTGATATAAAGAGTATTACGGGAATGGGGCATGGACAAAAAACTGAGTCTGCTCTCGTAAACATAATTGACAAGGTGTATGAGTGTGGGGTTGGGTGGTGGTAGGTTTCTCTCTATTGGATACCATGTGGATTGTACTTGCCACTAAAAATCATTAATCATCTCAGCAAAACACAAGCTTGTTTAGTCAATTCATAATCCCATCATTGTTCTTATGAAACATCGTAGCATTAGCATATTAGCATCAGAACCTAAAAGTCATTATTGTTCGATCCTATTTTAGTGTGGATTTTAAATATATAAGTTTGACACACTACTAAGTTAAATATTACAGGGGAGTACAACATATCAAATCATAAATATAAGTCAAACCGTATAATTTTTAGGTGTGCTTCCAGCCTTTCTGTTTACAAAAGAAAATGAGCTTAACCTTCCATGGTATATTCAGAGCAGTATTGTAGAAAAACCATTGCAGAAACATATGAGATTGTTACAATCCATTGATTGTTACATTTTCTGGAACACTTTTTGTGGTGCTACAAAACTAATATGGCGTATCACTCTTTTATACTAGGCTTGTTAAATTTCAGTTTCAGAACCTTGTATTTTGTTGACTCAAAATTTCAAAAGGCATCTTTTTGCCTCAGGTTCGATTTCTTCCAGGGGCTCGTGAAAAGGAGACTTGGTTGACTAGATCTATCTGCAACCTTCCCTGGTATAAGTTACAACTGATTCATTTATACAGTGCCCTTTTCCCAGCTATGGCTCCATGAGGGGGCTATTTTAACTGAAGAGTACAAATTCATCGTCTTCATTGGAAAGCATGAAAGACCTTCAAGATTTTTTAGTGCTGAGAAAGGGTTCTTGGTTTTATCTTTAATTTATTCATTGGATATCCTGATTTCTTATCCTTGTTAATCTGTTAGGGTCTGTTTGGAATGTGGAATATGTGAAGGAAAGAAAGTAGGGGAGAAAATACAAAAAAGACGACACCCCATCTCCGAGGGCCGGACAATTAACTGAGAGGATGTAAATTAGTAGGAGAGAAAATACAGCATTAATTTGCAAGCAAGGAAACTTTTAGGAAAATACTCAATATACCATTATTTTGAACTCATTAAATTTATTTCTTAAACGTATCTTGGTTTGGTAAATTCAAAAATACGAAACTAACATTTTGTAGGATTTTATTTCCTTTTCCTAGCATATTCTGGGATCCAAACATAGCCTTTTCATGTGTTTTTTATTTCTGATGGGTGAGGTTTTTATTTTGTCAGTAACTGTTACTTGATTGACCTGGCAATTAGTAGATGCCGGAAGTGATAAATCCTGTTCTTTCTTTGTAGTTGCACTCTTTGTGCTGTTTTCTGAACATATAAATTTATATGGCTATTTATTGGCATCTATCTTCATTTCTGGTCAAGAATTCCAGCAACGCAAATGTATATGAATACCCAATTCCCGCTCAACCGCTAGCCTCTTACAGCCAATCGCCCCAACATCAGTAAAATATATACTCCCTAAAAGAAAGGGTTTTCCTTTTTACATGCTATCTAAAAAAGATTTGCAGAAAACACAAACATCTGGTCAAAGTCAAGAAATTTCAGTACAGTAATAACTTTCAAATACAAGGATGTACTATTCACCCGTCCACCAGTTTTAGAAAAATAATTACTGTAAAAAAATGCCTAGCACATCTGTTGTTGGTTACTAACTTACGAATATGGATTATGGAGTATTATTACTTGAGTAGCGAACCTTTAATGGATAATTGTTGTTGAAACAAACTATATTGTTTTATGTTAGGATCGTATCCGTCTCCGGCTCAGATCTCCAACCACTCTAGACTAAACTCACACACACCCTCTAGGGCTAGGCCACAACATCTCCCATGTTTACTCACTCTTCTTCACTCCACAAAGGAACTCTCACACAAGGAAAGGAAGAAGGAAGACACTGCTCTCTGGAAGAGGAATTCACGCAGGCTTATCTCAAAGGGGCAAACAAAAGGACTACAAATAGGCTGCCAAGGAAAGTCAGAGGTGAGGCTTATCAACAGGGTGTCACAGGCTGCCAGACAGGAGGTGCAGCGGACAACAACAAAAAAAGGGGGCTCACATATTGTAAGTCAACAGACACCAATGAGTGATTTCAACTAAGGGAATCAAAGTGGGAGTAAACATGGGGTGCAAGCCTTAATAATAAAGTGGAAGGGAGGCCTTGGTAGGACCAATACCTCCAACATTCTCCACCTTATTGGTCCTAGGTGGTGTAGAGTAGCAAAACAGGTTGTGAGGAGACTCATCATCGCCGGGTCACCCGGAATATCAACAGATAAAACGGGCAAACACTTTATTACGCAACCCACAGTTATCCACAGTCAAAGTTTAACATGCGTTTACAGGACAAGTGCTTCTCAGCAGAAAGACACTTGGTACCCATATCCGCAGGGTTAAACTCTGACGGGATCTTGCACAGCTTGACTCCACCTGCATCAACAATATCACGTATGAAATGGAACCTAACATCAATATGCTTAGTTCTATCATGAAATACAGGATTTTTGCAAAGTTGGATAGCCGATTAGCTATCCGAGAAAATGGTAACTCCCTTTTTGAGAAACCCAATTTCGGAGACAAGGCGTTTGAGCCAGATGGCTTCCTTAAACGCTTCTGTGGCTGCAACATACTCGGACTCAGTGGTAGAAAGGGCCACAATAGGCTGTAGTTGAGACTTCCAACTAATGCAAGAGCCACACAAAGTAAAAACATAAGAAGTGGTCGACTTCCTGTTATCTCTATCATTTGCATAGTTAGAATCAACATAACCAATCAATTCAATACCACTAGCACATTTAGAGAAAATTAATTCATGCTTCACAGTAGAAATCAGATATCTAAGCAACCACTTAAGAGCATTCCAATGGGGCAAACCAGGGTTGGACATATATCTACTCAAGCAACTAACCGCATATGCAATATCAGGTCTAGTGCTAACCATAAGATACATAACCGACCCTATTGCGCTGGAATAGGGCACATATTTCATTTTCTCAATTTCAGGAGCAGTCTTGGGAGACTGGTCCTTACTTAACACAAAGTGAGATGCCATAGGGACATTAACAGGAGAAGCAGATAACATATTGAATTTACTCAAAACTTTTTCTATGTAAGAAATCTGATTCAAAGTAAGAGTGCGCTTACTCCTATCTCTAACAATGTTTATGCCTAAGATCCTCTTGGCATCACCTAGGTCTTTCATGGCAAAATTCGCACAAAGACATTTTTGCACATCTTTAATAGCATTCAGAGAAGGACTAATTATCAGCATGTCATCCACATAGAGTAACAAAAATACAAGCACAGAGGAAGTATTCTTGAAATACAGACAATGATCACAAACAGATTTTTGGAACTTCAAAGATATCATGCATTTATCAAATTTGATGTTCCACTGCCTAGGGGATTGCTTCAGGCCATACAATGCCTTCCTAAGCAAACAGACATGCTCACTTCTCTTGGGATCCACAAAGCCCTCAGGCTGGGTCATATAAATTGTTTTGTCCAATTCACCATGCAAAAAAGCAGTAGTTACATCCATTTGTTTCATTTCCCAGTCATGGTGAGCAACTAAAGCAAGCATCATACGAATAGTGGTGAATTTAACAACAGGAGCAAAGATTTCTGCATAATCTACCCCCTCTTTTTGAGTAAACCCCTTCGCAACCAACCTAGCCTTAAACCTAACATCACTAGGTTCTTCCTTAACCTTAAACAACCACTTACACTCAACTACCGAACAGTTGGGGGGTCTAGGTACAAGGGTCCAAGTCTGGTTCACTCTCAAAGAGTCCATCTCACTTTTCATGGCACTAATCCATTTCTGAGACTCTTTGGAACCTAAGGCTTCACGGTAGGTCTTGGGTTCATTCAGCTCTAGGGATTCAAACACAGAAAAAGCAAACATAGAAGTATCATGCACAATGAAAGCATAATCAGGCATACTATCAGCAGTTCTCCTAATAGCCCTTCTACCCCTATCTCTAGCAAGTTGATAATCATGCAAATTATCACTACTAGGCTCCACATGTAACTCATGCAAATTATTGTTGTCATGAAAATCAGATTCAGCACCCATGTCATGCAAATCATGCTCAGTATCATGCAAATGCTCCACCTCACTCGAGGTGGTGGGACTATCATGCTCAGATGAATCAGAATCATGCATAACAATATCATCAGTAATAACAGGATCAACAGATAAAGGACTAGCAGCAACAGGGACAAACTCCACCTCACTAGGAGTACTATCTGACCTAGACTCAGGATTAGAAACAGACTCGGTCAAGCAAGGAAAATCAGTTTCATTAAACACCACATTTCTGCTAAGGACCACCTTAAAGCCTACCTGGTTCCTATCCCATAACCTGTAACCCTTTACCCCCTCTGGATAACCTAGGAAGACACATTTCTTAGACCTAGGATCCAACTTGTCACCCTGTTGATGTGCATACGCTGCACAACCAAACACCCGAAGGTTAGACAGATCAAGAGGCTTACCGGTAAAGACGGCTTCAGGACATTTACCACCAAGTGGGACAAACGGGGACCTATTCACCAAATAGGCAGCAGTAGTAACTGCTTCACCCCAGAATTTCTTAGACAAACCAGAGGTAGCTAACATGCTTCTAACCTTATCCAACAGAGACCTATTCATTCTCTCTGCTATCCCATTCTGTTGGGGAGTATAAGGCACAGTTTTATGCCTTTTTATCCCACAATCCACACACAGCTTATCCATCTCCTTATTACAGAACTCTAACCCGTTATCGGTCCTAAGGGTTTTAACCTTCCTGCCAGTTTGGTTTTCAACTAGGGTTTTCCACTCCCTAAACTTCACAAACACATCAGACTTGTGTTCTAAAAGGCTAACCCACACCTTCTTAGAGAAATCATCAATAATAGAAAGGAAATATTTCCTACCCCCGTGAGTAGGAACACTGGCAGGACCCCAAACATCGGCATGAACATATTCAAGCACAGACGAACACTTAGACAGATTAGGGTAAGAGGAAGGAGGGAAGTTGACTCTATGCCGCTTGCCTAACACACATGATTCACAGAAAGGCACAGAAGTCACAGAGTCCTTACCAAAATAACCAGCCCTACGCATGACATCTAAACCCTTATTGCTCATATGTCCTAGCCTATTATGCCACAAAGAGGTCTTATCAGAACATACAACATTCACAGACTCAGTAAAAGGTTTAGCATGACACACATAAAGGTTATTCACCTTCTCAGCTTTAAACAACACAAGAGAATTTTTCAAGATTTTCATGCAACCATTCCCCCATTTTCCCTGTAAACCACTACTCTCCAAAGCAGCAACAGATAACAAGTTATGACACAAATCAGGGACATGCCTCACATTCTTAATGGTAAACACAGAGCCACAAGAAAACTTCAGACATATATCACCCACACCAAGCACATTGCATCTCTTATTATCAGCTAAGGAAACATAGCCACTATCACATAATTCATATGTAGAAAACAAATCTCTAAAGGGGGACATGTGATAGGTACAACCAGAGTCAATCAACCATTCATGCTCAGACAGGGAATTACGCACAGAATTAACATGGTCACAAACCATCAAAATATCACCAAGGTCACATTTATCAACAACTACACTAGCATGCTCGGTCTTCTTAGGTTTAGGGCAATCCTTAATGAAATGGTCAGCGTTACCACAATTGTAACACACTCTCTTCCTAGATTTGCTCCTCTTTCTCCCAGGCTGACTAGTGTTCTTACTTTGACTATTTTGCTTAGAGTTCTTAGACCTACCCTTAGATCTACCTCTAACAAACATAGCCTCACCGCAGTCCCTGGACTGACTAGCACTACCCCTAGCATGCTTCAGGTCTAATTCCTTACTCCTTGACCCATTAACAACAATATCTAACGAAATCTCATCCCTACCATACTTAATAGCGGACTTAACATCATTATAAGAGTCGGGAATGGCATTAAGTAATACTATGGGAGTATAATCGTCTATGTGTTTATCACCTGCCTGTTTGATATTCTGTATCAGTTTATTAAACACATCCAGGTTCTCATCTATATCCTTGGTCAGGTCAAGCCTAAACCTAAAGAATTTCTCAAGTAAAAACAACTTCCCGGGCAAAGAGGTATCAGTATAGAGACTATCCAATTTCTCCCACAATTCCTTAGCGGACTCAAGAATACCCACTTTCCTAAGCACAGAATCAGACAGATTCAAGTAAATAGTAGAACAAGCAGTTTCGTTCATTTCAATTTGCTTAGCCTTATCTTCTGATTCAAGGAAAATACCAGTGACAGCTCTGAAAACTTTTTGTTGTATTAAAACACACTTAATTTTCTATTTCCAAATATCAAAATCTGTTTTTCCATTAAATGGAAGCATACCATACTGATTAGCAGCCATGGTATCAACCACAAAACAACACAAAGCTAAACAGACAAATTTGACAGAAAATAATCCAACCCGGGATATAAAGTATACACTTTAATAACCCCGGGCAGCATGCAACAAATAGCAAATATGGACAGTTTGGCACATAAAACAACTCCGGGCAGCAATTAAAATTAATTAATTCTACCCCTAATACTCAATAAACCACCTCTACGCATAACAAATGAATTAAATAACACTTAGCAATTTAATTAACACACTAAAACAATCTGCCACAAAGGAGAGAGTTTAGCAAACGCACCTGGGGGGTTGGCGGCCGGGATACAATCTACCGGCGGCCCGCGGGGAGGGGGAATAAAATTAAATCCGGAGGCACCCGGTGCACCTAGGGTGTCTATAGCCAATTTACCTTAGCGAAACCCTATGAGAGGGTTTCGACCTTACCTACCCAATTTTTAAGAAAATGGGATTTTTCTGACTGTTGACCGGCGTTGACCAGCGTTGACCGGCGTTGACCGGCGTTGACTGCGGTCCAGCTGCTCCAGCAGTCCAGGTCCAGCGGCCCAACAGCTCAGGTCCAGCAGCAGTCCAGCTTCTCCAGTAGACCAGCAGCTTCAGCAGTCCACTAGCCCAGAAGCCCAGTAATGCAGCAACCCAGTAAACCAAAATCCAGAAGCCCAATAACACCAGCCCAGAAGCACAGGGGCCCAATCCCCTTTGTCCCTGTCCTCGGCGACCACACTGGGTAAACGACGCGCGAGTAACGAAGGCCGCAGGTGTTGGCTTCGATGGACGAGCGGGTCCAGCCACGAGTGACCACCATCGATAGCTCTTCCGGCGACGGCGGATGGCGGCTTCGGTGGCTTCGGCGATTTGCGCAGCAACAGGCTTCCAGTCCGACCCTTCCGAGTTCAGTTCTTCAGGTCCAAGCTTACCAGGCGATGGACACCTCCACGGACGGCGAATCGACGGTCACGACTTCCCAGACCTCGAATTGGCAGCGGACGGCGGCAGACGGCGAACCCTCTCTGATACCACTGTTAGGATCGTATCCGTCTCCGGCTCAGGTCTCCAACCACTCTAGACTAAACTCACACACACCCTCTAGGGCTAGGCCACAACATCTCCCATGTTTACTCACTCTTCTTCACTCCACAAAGGAACTCTCACACAAGGAAAGGAAGAAGGAAGACACTGCTCTCTGGAAGAGGAATTCACGCAGGCTTATCTCAAAGGGGCAAACAAAAGGACTACAAATAGGCTGCCAAGGAAAGTCAGAGGTGAGGCTTATCAACAGGGTGTCACAGGCTGCCAGACAGGAGGTGCAGCGGACAACAACAAAAAAAGGGGGCTCACATATTGTAAGTCAACAGGCACCAATGAGTGATTTCAACTAAGGGAATCAAAGTGGGAGTAAACATGGGGTGCAAGCCTTAATAATAAAGTGGAAGGGAGGCCTTGGTAGGACCAATACCTCCAACATTTTATAAATGATAAAGAATCGGTGCTACACTTGTTTCATAAAAGGATGTAGAAAAAGAAATGATTAAACGAGCTTACTTAAAAATATTTTTCATTTACAAAGAAAGGACTTTTTCGGAAACAAGTTAAATTAAGGAAATCCTTTTCTGCAACTATGAAAGAATAAATTTGTCAAATACAATATCTTTCTCACAAAGCAAGTTTCTGAAGTGAAAAATCTTTTCAAAATTCAAAATGGCAGATCATGTATCTCTTCTTGCTAGGCAAGTTAAAAGTGAATATTTAATGTATTTCTCTAATAAAAGGAAACACTGTCTAAATCTTTTTCATAATGTAAGACTTCAAAATAAAAGGATGAATGTTTCAAAGGAAAGTCGTGAAAGGTTTCAAAAGAAGGCTAAAACAGTTTTTAAGAATGAGCATTTTAAAGGAATAAATCTATGTGCCATATTAAATTATTAATGAACAAATACTTTCATAAACAAGTGTTTTGATAAAGGGAATGAATTTGGATGCCATATTAATGAGAAAACATATTTTCCATAATAAAAAATCAGTTGATAGGGAACCTATGGTAGTGATCATTTTCTAAAAGACAACAAATTTAAGGAATATTCTTTTTAAAGGAAATAATATTATATGCCCTATTATTGAGCAACTCCTTTCCTCTCAAGACACCACTCTAAATACACATGCTCGGCTATGAAGGAAGGTGTTCAAGTCCAGAAGAATACAGAGATAAATAAGAGCTCAAAGAACATATGAGATATTCATTGAAGAAAGCTCATGCACAAGTACGTACTCTTGTTCATGTCGTAGTGTCAGCATACTGATATTGTATTTCTTGGTCCAAAAGGTGGAATCTCCCACCCCAGGAGCCCCCACCCCGATCCGACAGGATGGTGGGGAGGTTAATCACGGTGACTCAGTCAGCAAAGCGGCGATAGGCCTTATACACGTGTGCACCAGAGATCCAGCCTTTTTTCAGGTTTTGTAACCTCCACACGGATGCTGCGAGTTTCGAACCTTGGTCACTTGATCCAATTTTCCCACCACTCGACCAACTGAGCTACCCGTGCGGGTTGATATTGTATTTCTTACTTTCTTTTCAAGAAGCATGTGTTGAGATGCATTTTCCACTGGGTTTGGGAGTGTGGTGAGGACATTTTTATAAAGTTGAGATGCAACTTGTCCATAAGACAATTGTGAAACTGTACGTAAAGAGGTTTGAGTTGGGCTGACTCAAAGATAGACTAGGGAGTCTATCTTATAATTGTTTTTCACAAAACGGCTTTTGCAAGGGGGTTGAGTTTTTTAATCCTTCATGAGCCAAGGGATTTTTCTTGATTTTCTTTTGCATTTATTCTTCTGCCTTCATCTATATCGAGAACTCTTATCCTCTTATTTAAGAATAAGTGTGATATACAAGAATGTGTCAACTATCAATAAATTAAACTTTTGAGTCACACTATGAAAAATTGGGAGTGCGTGATTGAGCAAAGGCTCCAAAGAAGTGAGAAGGTTTCAGAGAATAGTTTCATTTAATGCCTAGTCACTCAACAACTGAGATTCTTCACCTTCTTAGGCAACTTATGAAGAAGCATACAGACACAATAACAAAGATCTACATTTGGTGTTTAGTGACTCGAAAAGACATATGATAGAGTACCGTGAGAAGTCATTTGATGTGCATTAACTAGAAAACACATATCACGTAAGTGTATGAACATTATAATGGATATGTATGAGGATTGGACTACAAGTGTTTGTATTAGTGTATGGAGGACTATGGATTTCCCTTACCATCGAAGTGCACCAAGGATCGACTCTAAGTCCTTCCTTATTTGATATAGTCATGGATTAAGTCACAAAGTCAATTCAAAAAGATATACCGTGGTGCATGATGTTTGTCGACGATATCGTGTTGATTGATAACACAAGATCAATTGTTAAAGCAAAGTTGGAAGTATGGAAATAAAATTTGGAGAAGGATTTCACTGAGTCAAAACAAAAGTGAGTATATGAACTGCAAACTTGGTGGCGATAGAAGCAAGGAGATATCAGTCAGTGATATGTTCTTTTACCTGAGGTCCATAAGTCAGAATGACAGTGAACTAGATGGAAATGTATACCATAAAATCAGAATAAGGTGGATGAAATGAAAGAGTGTGTCAGAATTTCTATGTGATCAAAGAATGCTGACAATACTGAAGGATGAGTTTTAGTGGAAAACTATTAGGTTTGCATTACTATATGATATAGTGCTGGGTGGTGAAATGATGTCAAGCTCAAAAGATGAGCGTGGCTTTGATGCACATGTTGTGTTGAATGTGTGAACATAGTAGAAAAAACCGCTTGAAAAACGACAATCGGACAAAAGGTGAGAGTAATACATATTCAAGATAACATGAAGAGTCTTGATCGTAGTGATTTAGGCATGTGCGTAGAAGACCGAGCGATGCATCTGTTAGATGAATCAAAGGTGGGGAGAAGATGCAGGATAGAGAGAGAGAGGGGGGGGGGGGGAGGAGGGAGGGGGGAGGGAGGGAGGGAGCCCAAACAACCATAGATTGATTCAGAAATGATATGCTACTTCTTAGATTAAATGAAAGCATGACTTAAGAGAGAACTAAATGGAGATGCATGTTCCAAATTGCAATGGAGGATTGATCTCATTTCATCTATAATCTATTCTTTCTTTATATCTTTTTTTTATATCTTTCTCAAGTTCTTTACGCTTTTATCTTTTTTATGTTTATCTTATATTTTTCACTTTTATCCTTATTTTTTTATCTTATTTTATCTTTTGTATTTGTATTTTAATATATTTTTTAAATTTTTAGCTCCAATTTCAACCCTCAATTCACCCCGTTATGTGATTCAACCGACTCATCAGTTGTGGGACTCAAAGTTTCTTAATTGTATAAAGCTGGATTTTACTTTTATACATCAAACTATCAAAGAAGCTTAGAGATTACTTGACTTTCAAAAACAATAATTTGGTTAAGAAGCTATAGATATTACTTGACCTTCAAAAACAATAATTTGGTTTTGGCTACCACTGAATGAAGAAACTTCAAATTTACATTATGTATTAAAAACTCATAGTTACAAGGGCCCTTTGTTGTACGTTTATAGAGTGTGAAAGTATGCATAGAACAGTAGACTCCTTAAATCTAAATCAGACTCCATTTCCTTAAACCTCCCATCAGCTTCAGGGCCTCTCCTCTTGCAAAGAGCCAGTGGTACATCATATCATCTTCTCTTTTTGTCCTCTTTAGATCTTTCGAGTGTGACAGGGGCAGCCGGGATGCTAAACCACCATTCCCGCAGTCTCCTATTCCATCTTTCAGTGCTTGATTTCCGAAGGGGGGAGTATCTAGTGAAGTACTCCAGGAAAAGCACAAGTGTTATATACCTGTATGGCAAGATTGCCAAAACCAGTGCCGTGACCAACAGGCCACCTGCAAACTTCTCTGTTGCCTGACCATAAAAAAAAACAGGATGAACACAAATTACTACACATGCCCTTAGAGGGAGAAGGGGATAACGCCAATCTGGTCTCATGAGTCATGAGTCATGACTGCAGATAAGCCCACAAGTTTGGTATTACCATATTTAGTTCCACAATTTAGAGTTCCCCTTTTCGCTGCAGTCAGTCAAACTTGCAGGAATTAGTCAGACATGATAGTGCAATTTGGGGATTGGTGCTAATTTTGCTCAGGTGGACTTCTTGTATTAAAGGAAAACAGAATCTTTTAAAGATAAAGGCAAAAAACACCTCATCTAGTTTCTTGGATGAAACCACATCACAATATGAATTTTTCTGATTAAGTTGGCCAACTCTGACACAAATGGAACATTTTTCCTTATTTTCTTACTAAATCAGGGTACACAAGCTTATTTGGAGAACCGTTTATGCACATGGTCCTATTTCCAGGGAAAATTGTTCTTTTCAACAGAAGATTAAAACAATAGCAACGCCCCTAACCCCAACAGAAAATTGGGTTCGTAGCATGAAAACTAGTGTCAAATACACAATTGCAATTAGTTATAGCCTAAGTTGCACGGAAATAGAAAACGGGAAACATGAAACGCAGAAACTGACATTTTTAGAAACATAGGAAACAAAACGTAGGGAAAACACGTAAATACAACAACATCCAAGCCTTAATCTCAAAAGAATTTGGGGTCGGCTAACATGAATCGATCCATGATATCAGTGCTAACATAAATCATTTTCATTTACCCCAGTGCCGCAAAGGCTCCCACCTACGGTGGGGTAAGGGGGGGTCGAATGTACGCAGTCTTACCCCTGTACTAAAGCACAGAGAGACTGTTTCCGGATGACCCATAGTGAAAATCCCGTTCAAAGATATAGTGAGTCATAAGAAAGAAGCGCAGACAGTTTAGTGAGTCATTTTGCTTTATTCCATCATAATCTCAAGCCAAAACATAATGAATCTTTGGCTCCATTGCAAATGATGGAAAAATCAGTGCTAACATAAATATATAAAAAAATTAGGGATATTCTTGTAAATGATGCTCCCTCCGTATTCTAGTTTTTGCTACAATAGGGTTTGACATACTACTTCCGTCCCATTTTATGTGTCCTACCATGATTTGGCACAAGTATTAATATAATGGTTGTAAAAGTAAAATTATGGTTGGGATTTGAATACAATGAAGTGAAATATTGTAGACCACATATTTCTTTCCGAAAAGGAAATGTGGCACTTGTTTAGGGACAACCCAACAAGGAAAGTAAGACAGGTAAAATGGGACAGAGTATTATTTAAGGGAAAAATAGTAGGGACACTGAATAATGTAAAAAAAGTAGGAGATAGTGGAAAGTATGAAACAGAAGATAAAACAGAAAAGGTAAGGGTAATTGAGTATTTTAAAGGGAACACTTATCAAAAAGGGAAAGTGTAGCAAAGAAAAGAACAAATAAGGGGAATATATATATATAATGTGTAATCTTCCGGAAAACCGTCCGGCCACCTCCATTTGAGGTGCTTCCGGGTGGCATTTTTTATGAAATTTTGTCAGCGTGTTATTCATGAAATGTAGATTATGTCCACAAAATTTCAACTTAAAATTCAATCGGAGAGTCTGTTAAATAAATTATTGAAAAAACTGCGCCAATATATATATATATTATATATAAATGCAGTTTTCTTCAATAATTTATTTAACTGCCTTCCCGAATGAATTTTAAGCTAAAATTTTGTGGACATGATCTCCACTTCATGAATAAATGCTCACAAAATTTCATCAAAAAAAAATTCACCCAAAAGCACCTCAAATTGAGGTGGCCGGACGGCGTTCCGGTCAGGATATTTCTGACACTCCTACTACCACTACTAACATTAATAATAGTAATAGTAATTCATCAATAACAAATAATACAGGAATCAGTCATACCACTACCTATTTTACTTCATTCAATACATAGTTACTTTAAGTATAGCATTTTAAAGTTTGAACAAATAAGTTGACAAACCCGTAGGTGATAAGGAATCCAAAAAAGCTGAAACGTCAAAAGAATATCAAAAAACTAACTCCATTCAAAATTACAAAACAAATTAAAAGAAAATGATCAAAAGAATACCAAATAATCCAACTTTTACATATGTAAGATGGGCGGGTCTTTCTCGCAGCTAAAAGCAAACCAGAGCAACAGTAATCGTAATCGACAAACCAGAGCAACCCAGCAGATACAGAAGAGCAAAGCAACACAATTGGTACCAGATAATCAATTAATAGCTAATTACCTAGACTCCTGAAGCGATTAGGGTGCAGCCTAAAGCAACAAAGCGTGAAGCTCAAAGACGATGAACAGGACTGAAGGGTTTAATGTTATTTATATGGCATAATTCTGTTGGCTGAGACATGCGAATTTGAGAGTTTCTAGGATGGAGTCCACCGATCGGAGATTAAGGAAGCATAATATGGGTAAGTTATTAATTTTAAATTTACAAAATTCCTAAATTCGGCGGATAGTTCCCAAAATGCAGCTGAAACCCGTTTCCAACTTTCCCAAATTAACGAAACGTGCCCTACAAGTGTTTCTCACGTTTTTTGCAATTGGAAACGCTTCGATGTTTCTGAAATGGGGAAACCTAAGGAGAATGACGTTTTCATGTATCGTAGGTTATAGCACTTGAATTCTTGCAGAAGAGGACAATGGAAGTCTGCTTATGGAGGAACCATGTGATGGAATTTCAAAGCAATCATGTAGAGAGTTTTTTCTTCGCTTGTCAATGAAGGCTTTTTTATTGGTAATGCAGCAAGACTTTTTTTAATAATATCATTTTAATTTTAATCACATGGGACATGATGTTTGTTTGTTGGGAAAAGTGTCAAATAAGTCATCTACTATTGACGAAATGTCAATTATACCCACGAACTCAAATGTCATCCAATTAGATACTCCAACTTAAGAAAAAAGTTCAAATTCGCTTTTTAATACGTCACCAAACAATTATTCGGTAGACACGTACATGTGGCTGACACGTTTTCTTTTATTTATTTTTTCTGTTATTTTCTCTCCTTTCTTCTCCTCTGGCCTTTCTCCTCTGCGGCTCTACCAACTGCACCAGTACGTTAGCTTTCTCACTTCTCAGCCATTCTCAGGTAAATTATGTCTGACAGCTAACTCCATTGTTCATGTGGGATTGAGGGCTGCAACAAGGTCTCTGGAGACCGCCGTCGACTTCGTAACGCCTTGGAGGCTGGAGCACTGCCTCCCGTCGCAGTACGAGGACGCAACAGACGCCTTCAGCTAGGTCAACGAACGACTCACGAGATGCGACGGCGGCGTCGAGTGGATCTGCTGCTACGGCCTACGGTGACTTCTCACGGTGCAACCTCTACGGGTCCAGCTGCGACGCGGCGGCGGTGTCGATCTGGATCTGGAGATGATGGACCGGGCGAGCATGGTGAAGCTGCGGCGGCTCGGAGGAATCTGGTGCTCGGATTCGTAGAGGACACGTTGACCAGATGCTTGCGACGGTGCGAGGAAGAAATCGATTGGGAAGAGTAAGAAAGAAAATGGGTGGGAAAGAGAAAGAAACAAAAAGAAAACAATGGGAGAAGTTGCAGACTTGAAGGCGCAGGGAAGAAGAAGAAAGGGAGCGGGGAAGAAGGAAGGAAAGGAAAACAAGGAAAAAGAAAAATTGTGCCATGTCACATGCCACAAACGCAATACAACCGGGAACTTGGAAGATATTCGCTAAAATAACAATTTGACTGGTTTTTAGTGGTTGGTGGGTCAAATTGGGTGTAATTGACATTTTCGCAACAGTAGAGGGGTCTATTTCACACTTTTCCCTTGTTTGTTCGTAAGACGGGATATATTTTAATTTAGTAAAACCCCCATAAAAATAGCACAAACTATCAAGGTGTCGGTTTGCAGGGACAATGAATTGTTTTCATTGGAATATGAAAGATGTTTTTATTTTATTTTTCAAATGTTTGGGTTGTTTAAATTTAAAAAATATTTTAAGAATCCACATTACAGAATGGAAGAGATCAAGAGAAAATATTTGTGGATAGTTTGTCCCCTACAAATTTTCATATTATTTTTCAATGAATTTAGTTTTTACCTGATCCTCCATTATATTTTCCCAAAAAAATAGTTCCTCTGAAGACATTTTCTATGAAATTATTTTCTACAGACAACCCCAAACAGATGAAGTAAACATAAAAAACAGGAAGGATCATTTAGAAGATAGATAGCACATTCCACTTAGATATAAATGAATGCCATAGAAACAGGGAAATAGTAGAAAACCTGTGGGAATATGGACAACAATAATGCACGGAACTTGAGAAGAACAATGTTTCCATCTTGGATCAGTTCTTCAGCTTGGGAAATGGCATTTTGAACGGCCAAAAGCTGCTCCACAGTGTTCATTTCGGGAGGAGCTAATACTTTGAGTTCATCAGCTGGCCTACCTCGGCTAGTATAGCGAGTAAGTAACATAAAAACCGCAAAAAAAGCTAGCAAGGCAGCAGAAGCATATCCCAGCCATCCCCTGCAAGAGAGCAGCTACTTCGTTGATTCTACCAAGTTACAATTAATAGATTTACTTGTATGTAAAATATGCAATAAAGCATTTATGCATTCCCTCAATCCCAAATTCATCCAAAAAACTTCACCCATTTTTTGTCAGAAAATAGTGCTCCAATATACAAATAAAATCCATTTTTATCGACTGTAGTAGAGTTATCATCTCAGCACACCCAAAGTTGAACACAATCACTCAACACTGTCTTTGGATAATAATTTATAATCACTCCGTCCTGAAAAGAAGTTCCCACTTTCCTTTTTCGTATTTCCCAAAATGAAGTTGCCATTTCTATAAAAAGAATTTATTTTATTAGGAGATGTCGTAACTACCCCCTACTTTTTCCTACTTTTTTCTTGATTTGACATAATGTAAGGGTATATTTAGAAAGTCAAAACAAAATTTTATCTTACATGAATATGTGTGCAAGTCAAAGTGGGAACATCTTTGCGGGATCACAGTACTAATTTATTAAGGATACTGCTTTTCTGATAAAATAAAGAACACAATTATGGTCCTATCCAATATTATTCAAGGTATCAAATCAAAGAGCTCTCTGATCAAAAGAAAAAGGTAAATGATAAGATAAAAATGCACAAGTCCTAAAGCTTTCTAGATGATGGTTGGCTGTTGGAGATATAGTTTTAAACAAATGATCCATCTGAAAATCTGTGCTTCAAACTTTAAAAAGTTTGTGATATTGTACACCATTAAAGTTCATTACATAACTAATTGGTAATAAGGATTCTTGTTGTACCTTTTTCAACTTACGGAGTATATAATAAAATAACATGACACCATCTCAAATCCAACCAAAATAGCAGAGTAACAGAACCATATATACCATAAAGATATATCCCTGACCTCACCTGTTAATAGCGTAGGAGGTAGCTAAGCAGAAAATCATGGACCTTAAAGGGTCTTCCCAGTGTGCTAGAGAAAGAAGCCAATTCCCCAATTGAGTAATGGGTAACAGCAACTCCTATACGGCCATGCATTAGTCTCAGAGATCAGAGCATGGCATAAGTCAATGGATCCGTTCGGAACCAGGGCAATACTAGGAAAGAAAATACGAAAGAAAACATAGAGAAGAGATGATAGCAAACAAATTGTGTGTGGGGGGGGGGGGGGGGGGTTAATGATAGGCTAAAAGCCGATAAACTTTACTCCCTCCGTTTTTATTGATTTGTACGTGTTCCTTTCCAGGATTTTTTATTATTAGTTGTCCCATTTCCTAATCTGGCAAGTTTTACGCTTACATTTCCTAATCGTGTAAGACTTCATCACTACCCATTTGCTTGAACTTACATATTTAACTGATTTTAGATACTCTAATTTCATGACACTAACCCCAATAAAGTTTGGATGTTTACCCAGTGTGATAATTAATGCCTAACACGTGACAAAGCATCTTTGTTTTGTTTGGTAGAGAAGAAAATTTGAGGAGAGAGAGAGAGAGAGAGAGAGAGAGAGAGAGAACATGACAAAGCATTTGGCTTTTGTTTGATAGAGAAGAAAATTTGAGGATGCGAGAGGGGAGAAAATGTGAGAAAGTGGGGGAATTAATGATGTGAGAGAAGTAAGAGAGAAATAGAAAGAAAAGAAGTGGGTAGTACTCTTTTATAAAAGTGGGCAGTGTCATTAATTAAAAGGAAAAAAATCTTAGATTATAAGAAAAATTACAGAAGAAGAAAGGGGCATAAATAGAAATGAAAAACTAAGACGCATTCTCCGTTACTTCTACCTTTCTTCTTTGTACGTGGGAGGAAAAATCAAGGCGTTATTGGGTCCAACTATTTTCTCTGTCTTTTAATTTTTTTCCTTGGCCAAATACATGAATTCTTTCTATTATCCTTTTCGCTCTCAACTTTCTTTCTTCTCTATCTCCCCTCAAACAAGCAATGCTTTGAAGTCAAAATTAATGGATACATATATGGATCTTCAGAAATTATCACTATCCACACAAAGTTTCCAATCTAATAACATGTTATTCATTACCTTCATAACAGCTAAGTTGGTGTCGATACCATCGACCTTAACCCCATCAACACTAGCTTGAGCAGATACTAGCTTCTTGTGGTTGGTTCTAGATTCCTTAACCGCTCTTTCCAAAGGAGTAATCTCACCCACAACAATCTCACCCACACTGATTCCCGTCTCATTAGAAGAAACTGCTCCAAACGCAAACCCCAAGTTGGATGCCATTGTCAAAGGCGAAATATAGTGCACCACTCTTCTGCATTTAGGAGAGCTAGTTCTCTCCAATTCCCTGGCGATCGATCTATTAGCAAGTGTTTCCAGTATAACATCTCCACCAGGAAGCTGATCACACACATTGAACATCAAAAGATCTTCATAAGAAAGAGCATCTATGGATGTGGAACTTGTTTCTTTTAGTGCTTGAACACGAAGGATTCCAAAAATGGCTTTCAAAAGTGCTTCTTCTCGCTCTATTCCAGTGATCTGGAATTTTTTTATAAATCGATGGACGTATAGGATTTCACGTATAATGGCCAACCAATAGTCTCGTCGCGTGTGTCCTTTAAGTTCTGGGAACTCCATAACCACAGGGTCTTGCCTGCATTTACAAAATTTAAAATTGGAAACTTCCAAAAGGGCCATATAGTATAGAACATCGAGGATGTGTTTGGCATGCCACAAGTTAGCTTATAAGCTAGCTACAAGCTTTGTAAAGGCAGCCAATCAAATAAGTTTTGTTTTATTGAGGTATCTTGTTTATTAACCACAATTTATTTTAAAGTTGTTTCAAGACATTTTTTATTTCATTTTGAATTTTATGCTTATGAATGAGCCTATCAACTACTTGATAATATTTATCCAATAATATAAGACCAGGTAACGTATGTTAAAAGTTAATAATCATCTGTCAGCTGGTTTATTAGCATGTTTAGCAAAACATATCCCAAACTGCATGAAGTAAATAAACGTGGAAGGAATATTGCAGGCTAAAGATATGCTTCGTGCCTTACAAGGAAGTTGATTTATAGAACACAGCTTTGTCGAAAAGCCTTGTGCCCCATGGTCCTGTTAATTCAGGTTTAACGACCTGATTTAGATCTTGCGAGAGGTCATACACTTTCGCCTTGTCATAAGACACAACACGCAGTGCTTCAAAATAGAGAGCATGATCTGTCAGAGTTAGCCTACCTGCAACATGAAATATACGCCCACAAAAGAAGTTAAAGATGGTCTTGAGTATCCCACATCAGTTGTCTACTGTGGTTTAGTCTAATATGATTATATGCAAGTGTGAGATAAACCCCGCTTCACTTCTTCAAAGTCAATTTAGGGCGAGTTATATACAATTTAACTAACATCATATCCTGGTCTGAGGAGCGCACTCGTTTGATTGTTTAAGGCAGCCTATTTGGAGGTCGATTTGGGAACATTTATCCATCTCTTAGTTGTCCAACCCGATTTAGGTTGAGGGGGTGTGATGAGTATCCCACATCGATTGCCTACTAGGTTTGCGTCAAATATAATCTAATATATAAGTATGAGATGAGTATGAGACCTCTTGAAGTTAGTTAAGTCCAATTTAACTGATGCAATCAAGTGAAATAAGCACATTGTTACGGATGCATTCTGGGGCAAACAATACAGCAGGCGACAGGGCCAAGAATGAGCCCAGAACGTTGCAGATTCATACTCGGACCGTGGGCCCAACTATATCGAGAAACAAAGTGGCTGAAAGAAAACTATTAATTAGTTATTACTATTATTCCTATTTCAGTTTTAGGCAACTTCCTATTTATACTATTATTCCTATTTCAGTTTTAGGCAACTGACTAATTGTTCTAGTATTCCTATTTTAGTTTTAGGCAACTGCCTAATTATTAATTGCCTTAGGACTCTTGTATCAGCCTCTATATAAGGGTCATTATTATTATCAATAAAGGAACTTTTGGAAGAATTAATTTTGTGTGTCTTGACTAGGTCGGACATCAATTTAATTCCTGCTTAAGATTTCAATTCTTCAAAAGTCATAGATTCCTTCCCAGTCAATTACCTTCCCTCTGAATTACAGAAACACTCTCGTCCCTGGACGAAATCATTAACGCAGGTTCTTAACAATTTGGTATCAGATTCCGGGACGATGGGCAACGATGCAGCAGGAGCCGAGGCATTGAAACACATGATTGAGGGCATGGACCAACGCCAGCTGACTGTGGAACACCAGCTGGCCGACCTGCAGGAGTGTGTCGCTAAATTGGCAGAATTACCGGCAGCGATGGCCGCCTTGTCCGCCTCTGTCCAGAAACTGACTGCAGATTCCTCCTCAGTATCTCCCCGCTTTGCTCGACAACACGAACGAGACTACCGGCGGCAGGATCATGATGACTTGGTGGTTCCACGTTTTTCCAAGCTTGATTTTCCACAATATGACGGTAAGAGCGACCCTTTGTCATGGCTTAAACGTTGTGAAAGTTTCTTTGTTCACCAGCGTACACCGGCGCAAGCCCGTGTGGGTCTCGCAACGTTTTACATGACTGGGACAGCCCAGCTCTGGGCTGATCAGCTTGATCCCAGTGCTACTGACATCACCCGGACCGAGTTCTATACTAAGTGTACTAAACGCTTTGGACCGCCCTGTGGTGCCAATCCTGAAGGGGACCTTGCCAAACTCACCCAAACACATGATGTCGAAACTTATATTGAGTTGTTTCAACAGTTGCTTGCCCGCACAGTTGGCATCTTTGTGCGCATGCAAGTTAAAATCTTCACAGCGGGATTACGTGAATCGTTGCGCTTGGAGGTTGAGTACCAGAATCCAGTTGATCTTGATTCGGCAATGATGTTGGCCCGTACTGTGAATCGCAAGTATGAACACCCGGAGACCAAATCTCGTTCCACTCTTTTGTTTCCATCTGCACAGTACACGTGGCCACCAACACCGAATATGCCTGATCCATCCTTAAACCGACGGCAATCCACACCGGGGTTTAAAAAGAACTCCCGTGCTGAGGCTGCCATACGCCGGGAAAAAGGTTTGTGTTATAACTGTGACGATCCGTGGATTCCAGGTCACCGTTGTAAACGACTTTTTTTTATTGAGATTCTGGATGAGGAATCCTTAGAGGAGCCAGATGAATATACAACCAGTGCTGAGCCATCCCTGTCTATCTTGGCTATGACCGGGTTCGGATCTTCATCCACCATGCAACTTTCAGCACATCTCTATGACCGTTCCATCACTATCTTGGTAGATTCGGGCAGCACTCATAACTTCCTGCACCAACGGTTACTTCCAACCACGGCGGTCCTATCTCAGGTTGGCAGTGCACTCCATGTACTTGTCGCTAATGGTGACCGTGTTTCCATAATGGGTACTTGCTCCAATCTCCCTTTTGAAGTCGATGGCAGACAATTCTCAGCAGATGTTTATGTCCTTCCACTGGTCGGGTTCGATATGATCCTTGGTGTTCAATGGCTCCGTGGTTTAGGTTCCATCGTGTGGGACTTTGAGCAGCTCTCCATGCGTTTCCAGTGACAGGGCCATCCAGTAGAATGGCGTGGACGGGCAGCAGGTCACTCCATTCATGCCCACATGGCTGTTACCTCGCAGATGGAGACCCCGTCGTCTCTGGATACAATGCTGAACAGTTTCTGTGACCTCTTTCAAGAACCCACCAGTCTCCCGCCTCGTCGAACTCATGATCACTGTATTACTTTATTGCCGGGCTCAGGTCCCGTGGTGGTTCGACCATACCGATATCCTTATTTCCAGAAGGATGAAATTGAAAAACAATGTTCTGAGATGTTACAACAGAGGATAATCCAACATAACCGCTCTCCATTCTCATCCCCAGTTTTATTAGTCAAGAAGCCAGACGACACATGGCGTTTTTGTGTGGACTATTGGGAACTGAATGCCAAGACCGTTAAAGATAAATTCCCTATTCCCGTGATTGATGAACTGTTAGATGAACTCCATGGCGCCAAATTCTTCACCAAGCTGGACCTCCGCTCTGGTTATCACCAAATCCGCATGGATCCTAATGATGTCGAAAAAATAGCATTCTGAACCCACCATGGTCACTTTGAGTTCCTTGTGATGCCATTTGGGTTATCTAACGCTCCATCTACGTTCCAGAGCCTTATGAACGACATCTTTGGGCCTTAGTTGCGCGTATTAGTTTTCTTTGATGACATCTTGATCTATAGTAAGTCATGGGTTGAGCATGTCCATCACGTTCACCTTGTTTTTGAGATTTTACGCACTCACGGATTGTTTCTCAAACATTCCAAGTGTAGTTTTGGATCCCCGCAAGTTAACTACTTGGGACATGTGATTCATGGTCAAGGAGTTGAGGTTGATAAATCCAAGATTCGTGCGGTTCTTGACTGGCCTACCCCAAGCACCGTAACTGCCTTGCGTGGTTTTTTGGGTCTTGCGGGCTATTACCGCAAATTCATACAAGGATACGGAGAAATTGCAAGACCACTCACCCAACTTCTCCAGAAAAATGCCTTTGTTTGGTCCCCAGCAGCAGCCACCGCCTTCACTGACCTCAAGCAGCGTTTGTCTTCAGCCCCAATATTGCAACTTCCAGATTTCACAAGAGAATTTGTTGTAGAGTGGGATGCCTCTAGTAGTGGATTTGGGGCCGTCTTGCAGCAAGAGGGTCATCCCATTGCATATTTTAGTCGGCAGATTGCTGCCCGCCATTCGAAACTTGCGGCTTATGAGCGGGAACTAATCGGTCTGGCGAAGGCAATCACCCATTGGCGGCCCTATCTTTGGGGCAGAGAGTTTCTAATTAAGACCGATCATTCGAGTCTTAAATATCTGTTAGAACAACGCCTCACTACATCACCACAACAACACTGGCTAAGCAAGCTTATGGGCTTCACTTTCCGGATCGAGTACAAACCAGGACGCTTAAATGTGGTTGCAGCTGCACTGTCTCGCCGAGATGAACCTATAACGTTAGCAGCCGTCTCCATTCCATATACAACTATCATGGAGGACATACGCCTCGAACATGCCACGTCACTTGAAATCAAGGCTTTATGTGAACAATTGACGGCTGGGGTCCTCGACGATGACTGGGCATATCGTGATGGCTTTCTCTACTTCCGCCATAAGATTTTTCTCCATTCTACCTCATCCCTCATTCCCACGTTGATTATGGTGTTTCATGAGATGGCCCATGAAGGTGTGGAAAAGACACTGCAACGGTTGCACCGAGAATTCTATTGGCCCAAAATGAAGCTAACGGTGAGTCAGTTTGTCAAGGATTGCCTCACATGCCAACGCCATAAATGGTTAACATTACAACCAGCAGGGTTGCTTCAGCCGTTACCCATTCCACAACAAGTTTGGGCCGACATTTTCATGGACTTCATTGAGGGGCTGCCAAAAGTTCGTGGCAAAAACAGTCATTTTTGTGGTTGTAGATCGTCTCACAAAAGCTGCCCACTTTATACCACTGGCTCATCCATACACGGCTGTTTCGGTGGCCAGTGTCTTCTTTTCTGAAATTTTTCGGCTGCATGGACTCCCTGAATCTATTGTTTCTGACCGTGAAAAAGTTTTTGTTAGTCAATTTTGGCGAGAACTTTTCCGTTTGAGTGGCACTAAACTGACTTTTTCTTCAGCTTATCATCCCCAGACGAATGGCCAAACGGATGTAGTTAATCGCACATTGGAAACTTTTCTACGCTGTCTCACAAGTGACTGCCCCAGGGAGTGGGTTCGCTGGTTACCTTGGGCAGAATTCTGCTATAACACTTCCTTTCACTCCAGTTTAGGAGATACTCCATTTCGTCTCGTCTATGGGAGAGATCCACCGAAGTTAATCTCTTATACTCCAGGAACAGCAAAATTGGAGGGAGTGGAACAAGAGTTAATCAATCGTGATGCTTTTTTATCTTCAGCTCGACGTCATTTGACCATTGCCCAAGCTCGTATGAAATCTCAATATGACAAAAATCACAGGGAGGTTACCTTTGAACCCAATGATTGGGTTTGGCTGCGGGTTCATCCTTACCGACAACTCTCCATGGGTTCTCGTCACCATAAACTACTTCCCAAATTCTATGGTCCATTCCAAGTGGCTGCTCGCATCGGCAAGGCCGCTTATCAGCTTTCTTTACCTGAGACAAGTAAAATTCATAACGTCTTTCATGTTTCCCTCTTAAAGAAGCATCACGGTCCTTCCCCTGAGCAAATGGGACCTCTGCCTCCTTTACTAGAACAACCAACAACCTTGCAACCACTAGCCATACTTCGCAGACGCCTTAATAGGGATGTGCCAGAGGTACTTGTACTTGTTCACTGGATGGGACAGTTGGCCGAGGAAGCCACCTGGGAGACCTTGGAGTCCTTTACTGCTGCATTTCCAAGGTTTGAGCTTGCGGACAAGCTCGAAGTCAATGAGGGGGGTATTGTTACGGATGCATTCTGGGGCAAACAATACAGCAGGCGACAGGGCCAAGAACGAGCCCAGAACGTTGCAGATTCATACTCGGACCGTGGGCCCAACTATATCGAGAAACAAAGTGGCTGAAAGAAAACTATTAATTAGTTATTACTATTATTCTTATTTCAGTTTTAGGCAACTTCCTATTACTCGTCGTTTGGCTTGAATCTCGTTCCTTAGGAATACTATTATTCCTATTTCAGTTTTAGGCAACTGACTAATTGTTCTAGTATTCCTATTTTAGTTTTAGGCAACTGCCTAATTATTAATTGCCTTAGGACTCTTGTATCAGCCTCTATATAAGGGTCATTATTATTATCAATAAAGGAACATTTGGAAGAATTAATTTTGTGTGTCTTGACTAGGTCGAACATCAATTTAATTCCTGCTTAAGATTTCAATTCTTCAGAAGTCAAGTCATAGATTCCTTCCCAGTCAATTACCTTCCCTCTGAATTACAGAAACACTCTCGTCCCTGGACGAGATCATTAACGCAGGTTCTTAACACACATGTATTGGCTTTAGTGCATTGGTCGACATTTTTGTCAATTTGATCTAAACTTGTTAGCATAAATAACAATTTCGAGTCCGCGGATCTACCAGGCCACGTGGAGATTCCCACATGTTCAAGAACAGGTTGGGTTGTGACGGTCCCATCCAGTTCCAGGATCTTCTCCCCTCTATCAGAGCGTTGGGAGGAAAGGTGAGATGACTCTGACTGGCTCTTCAACTTTTTAATTACCCTGCAAGATAAAAATTTGATATAGTAAGATTAGTAACTGGGAGTTACGGGGTGTTACACCACAACTATTTCAAAGCATAAGTAAAATCAACTACGGAAGTAACATAGGTCCTATGTGATTTAGCTACTTAAAAACATCCATATAAAATGATACTACCTTTCCATGCCAATGAGGTACTTATCATAGACAGAGAAATGAAGTCTATAATCTGTTGATGAAGTAAGGACAGAGAAAATGCTATCACTGACAATCACATTGGCAATTATGGGAACTGCAGAAGAAATTCTTGAAAAGGCTTCAACACCAACAGTGGCTTCCTCCATCTGCAATTAAAAAAAATTACCCAAACCAGATCTGGTCCAATCATGAAATGATAAATATAAATCATATCTTCATTCAATCATCGTGACACCATGGGATTTAAGAAAAAACTGGAGTAGGAAAAAGTTTTCATTCCTAATATCTACCTGAGGCTTGCAAATGTTTCTCGTCCCTAGAAATATAATGTTAGGTGTTTTAGAACCTGTAAAACTATTTTGATAATCATCCTTGTAACTTATGTTGTTTTTTGGTCAACCTCTTGTTAAGAAACTGGTGTGCTACACATAACTCCTCCATGTCAACTTTCTGTAACTCATTGCAACAATTAGCGCAGCTAGGGCTAAGAGAAACTCGCTGTTTCCCTTCCAACTTATACCTTTCTGACTCTTTAGATAAAATATTAGGCATTTCTTTAAAAAGAGAGAGGTGGGGCTAGATTACACTTGTGTGAGGCTGGCGCCATATAATCTCTTAAAATGGAATTTTACAGAGACTCAAAGAGGAACTAAAAAAAGGCAAAAATTACAAGGATACAACAACATTACCCCAGTGCCGCAAAAGGTCCCACCTACGGTGGGGTGCGAGGGTCGCATAAATTACAAGGATGAGTGACATAAATAATACTTTTATAGTAACCTAAAACTAAAAACCCTATATTTACTGCACGAAATACATATTCGGTCTTTACGTGATATAGCCATATAGGGGAATTTGCTAGAATTGTTCAATGACTGAATACACAAACGATTGACACGTACACTGGCAGATGCTTGACTTGAAGCGGCTGGAAACTCCCAAGCAACCATCATATCAAATGTAAGACACCGGAAACTTCGGTCACCTAGATACCCATTTACATTTACAGACAATGCAAGGGCCTTGAAGCAACAGTATTCCAGAAAGTTCCTAGCGTAATGAGGTGGATGCCTTAAAGAATCAGAAGCCACTTGTTCAAAATTTTCCCGAAGTTGACTCATGGAAATATCAAGGATTCTGCAGCGACAATGGTTGTAATTAATACAGAAAATATATTGCTGGAGTACTTGTTACACCTTTCTTTTATTTTGGGATGAAATAGAGAACATTAGAATGGAGGAGAAGATGGAGAAGAGAAAAAACAATAGAAATATGACTTATTGTATGTGTTGTGCAACACTTTCATTTTCTACATCTCTCCATAAGAGAAGAACTGAAAAGGGGGTGGGATGCAACATTTTCGTTTTCACCCCTCCCCATTAATCCTCACTAAACAAGAGAAATTCTCCTTCTCTCATATTCACCTTAAACAAACAAAGGCCAAGAACGCCAATAAAAATAGTAAAGAGAGTCACGAGAGTTTATATAGAATTTGATTAGACTAACTAATCAATTGTATTCTATCTTTTAGTCTGATCTTGCAGTGTGCATTATGAACTACTTGACTGAACCAGACCCAATTGTGAATTCTATCAATGATACCTTGCAAAAAATCTAACTCAACATGCTTAAATCGACCATACAAAGAGATCCTGAAAATACTTTGGACTTTTTTAAAAAATTGCTACAAAGCATAAGATTATGAACTATAGAAGCTTACTTTGAGCATTTCCAGGTGACAACATTTGCATAACGAGAGAGCTCAGGCAACCAATTCATTCCACCCGATGATTGAGACTTCTCCATCTCCTCAAGATCTTTATCAAATGAACTCCTGGTTCTATTCAACCATTTAAATGAACTCTCTTTGACCAGATCCTCCAGCATAGTCCTTGTCTTGCTTACAATAGCCATGGCTAAGCTACTGCATTTACACGAAAGTTACATAACTAGTTTACCTACACAAAACATACAAAATAATACTGTACATACCAATAAATTCAAAGTCCCCAACTTTATCATAAAAATTTCCATAAAAATAACAAACCATTGATATTTATTTTGTTCCTTTATTTTCCTTCATTTATTTCTTCCCGTACAAATACACCAACAAGCTCTATGTAAGCAGACTCAGCACAAAATCTCTAGTAAACCATCCTAATAGTTCCAACCATATTCAACATAAAAAATTGCACCTTTGGTCGCATTAGTTGTACATCATTTTCAGTTTTCGTCCCTGACTGTCATCTTTTTCACTTGTACATTTAGTGCAAGACAGGTGGGTTTATTGCTGATTTTGGTCCTTCTGATCACTTATATAGTGATATTTGCAATTTGCATATAAACTAATAACATGGACCGCAGTGGAATATTTCTTCTCCAAACTGATGTACCGAAATATGCATAAACCATGCCCAAATTTGAAACTTTTACCAATGGTAAAAAATACTGAAATATAGGATCAATTTAGCATTTAGAAATGAATTCAATCTTCTTAAATACCCTTCAAAGAGAACAATCCAGAACAGTCGGTCGTTACCTGAAGAAGAACACGAAGGGTTGGGAATCCGTATAAAGGGAAAATTTTGGCTTTAGGTTGAACCCTTCCCCCCTGGGTTGAGGTACGCACACAGCTGGGAAGATACTGAGTACTGCCGGAAAGGCGAGAGGAACTTTACTGTGTGGGATTAGCTTCGTTAATTATTGTCGAGCTATGATGAACGATTGAACGGGGATGCGGCAATAACTCCGGATACAACTACAGGTATATTCCATTAAAAAAGCAAGGGTATATTTATAAATAACAAAAATATAGAATATAAATTGCAAATATATATAATCCAGAGGTTCTTAAATCAAATAATACTCTCTCCCTTCCATTATTATCTTCATTGTTTTCATTTTGTTCAATCTCAAAGTTATTTCCATATTTCCTTTTTTGGCAAGTTTTAGTACTAAGGATGGCAATGGGGGCGGGCGGGGGCAGGGGGAACCGCCCCGTGGGGGGGAGTTGGGGCGGATGGTAGGGTGGGGCAGGTATGGTGATGGGTGAATTATTCCTCCCACTAAAATATGGGGCAGGTGATGGGTTATGCACCCCGCACCGTCATCGTCCTTATAACAACGTAGTAAAGAATTTATGGTTTCAGTTAATTCTCTCTCCTCTACACAAACCTCAATCACACAGTTTTTACTTTGTTAATCCTCGTGTCGGTCAAACTTGGTAAAGTTATTAGGGACGGAGGGAGTAATAATTAATAATAATAATCACAATAATAATGCTACTAATAATAATAATACTAATACGAAGTAATTGAAATAGCATGGTGACCCGATGGGTTTAGTTATTTCATATCTAATAGGTTGTGCCTAAGGGTCTATCTAATTCTTGTTTAATAACTCAGCTATCTTGTGAAATTGGTTATCAATATCATATAAAGTAAAATGAATTTGGGAAAGTTATAAAGTGATATTAGCTTAAATGTCTTAGGCACAGTGTGGATGTTTTCTTCTGTTACTATTATAGTGCATTAAATTTTTTCTTATGAATGTCATCTTTATGATTGTAGTTAGGCTCTTAAAAATCTGGTGACCATAGGTCGTCCTAGATGCTGTCAAATGACCATGGTTGATTAAATGCAGGGCTTAAGAAAATATTACAGCGCTAATAAATGCTAATAAAGTGTTTTATAAAATGACTAAATCAAAACGCGTATAATGTGTTCTAGATTTGAAATGGGATGTACGATTCCATTGACACTTAAAAACTAAAAGTTTTTCTTGTTACATACTAGAAGTGTTGTTTGATTTTTGAAAAACTATCTCGGACTAAAATAGTGTTAATTTTTTACGAATATTTCCCTCGTTGGGTACCCGTGGGTCTAGTGGGTCGGGGAGGTGGATTGGGCGGGTCACACAGTAGTGGGGGGATGGGGTGGGGGTGGGGGCGATTTTTTAGACACGGGGCGGGGATGGGGGAGTGAACCCCCGCCCCAACCCCGCCCCATCGCCATCCCTAAGTTTTACCCTATCAATTTACCCTAATACCGTTATACATCTACCCACATTCATTACCCCCACTTATTCTAACCGCTCACCGCCCACCCAGCCCTGTATATCCCCACATTTATAGACGCTCTTCTCTCTCATGTCTCGTTGTATTCCTCTCTCGTTTCTTCTTGAACTTTCTTTCTTTCTCATCCCATTACAAATGCTCCTCTGTCTCCTGTCTGCCTATAATTTCATCTTCTCGCCTCTAAGTCCATCTCCCCCCTTTCTCTGTTCATCAACCCTTGTATCCGTCTTCATATTTGTGCAACCTATCTAAAGTCTTCCCGCTTTGACACCAGATTTGAAATTGTAGATCCATTAATGGCGGAAAAAAACTCATTCTTGGTCATGCATGGCGGTGCGGTGGTTGAAGACTCAAGTGATGGCTCCTGTTGGCCCGATGTCATCCATGATTCTGAAGATGATCTGACATCAATAAGGGTTGAAGACAGCGAAGGTGAAGGAGTGTGGACTGATGTTGGGCAGAAGATTCAAGGATTAGAAGAGGGGTTGCGGTCGGACACTCTGAAAACTGGGATTCCAACCTCTATTGAGAGTATCGTCACCATTTACCTTCATCAATGGATACAACGACAGTAGATTAGTTTCCACTTGCGTGTGTTCCTCCGCATCCAGACCCAAATGTTCAAGAGTTCATTGATGAAATGATTTCAATATGGCTACCTCTTTACAAAAAATGAAGGTCGTACATCTCTACTTAATCATCTTTTAATGTTCTCGTGCCGATGCATGGACTTGTAAGGTCCATTATATGACGTCTGCATGTTTTCACTTGCACAAATATTGATATATGTGTTTTGTGATGGCTTAAGGGAGTCCTTGTTGTTATTTTGTGATGAAAGTTAGACTTAGAGAATATGTGATGAAGCATGCCTAGTATGAGAATCATGTGTGTTATTGCCTATGTGTGTACCCTATTTGTCTAAGTGATGTTTGCCTTAAGCCAACAGGTTAATCCTATGGAGGCTTAAGGCAGTCCTGTATGGATTCTGTGATGACACTTGAGTAATCTGAGAACTTGTGTGTTGTTGCCTATGTGAGTGCCCTATTTGCCTAAGTGATAACTGTCTCAAGCTACCAGGTTAATCTTATGGAGGTTTAAGGCAGTTCTATGTGGATTCTGTGATGATACTTGCCCAGTCTGAGAATCATGTGTGTTGTTGGTTGCCTAAATGTGTGTCCTATTTGCATGAGTGATGAATGCCTTAATCCACTAAGTTAATCTTATAGAGGTTTAATGCAGCCTTGTGTGGATTCTGTGATGATACCTGCCCAGCCTGAGAATCTTGTGTGTTGTTGTTTATGTGTATGCCCGATTTGTCTAAGTGATGATGGCCTTAAGGGGCCAGGTTAATCCTATGGAGGCTTAAGGCAGCCATGTGTGGATTCTGTAATGATACTTGAGTAGTCTGAGAATCTTATTTGCCTAAATGGTGAAAAGTTTGTTTGTATCCAAAATATAAGACAAATTGCCTTCGTAGATAATGACAGTGTGTTATTTGTGTACATTATCTTATATGTATACATCAAATCCAAAAATACAAAAATCCAAAAAACACAGTCTGTCAGTAGCTAGTACATACAAAAACCCCCAAAACCCCAGTACCTTGTCTACGTGTACCCAAAACCCAAAAAATCCCAAGCTTAATACATTTACACTAGGATTAATAGGTGGTTGTCATGTTATTTTGATGTCACTAGTAGCCTCCTTCATAAACTCACTGTCATTAGGACTTGTATGTGGCTTGACAGTAGCTTGTTAGATATATATGTCCCTATATGCATCAATTGGCCACTTGGCTTTGATGGCAAGCAACACTTTATTGATTAGGCATTGTCTGTAAATATCTTTTGTTACAATGTCAACTGCCTTTTCTTTTATTGTCCCTCCAATTCTGTTTTTGTTGTTTCTTTTTGCCGGCTCAAAGACAGTGAAGGGGAAAATATCAATTTTCCCATCAAATAAGACATCTGAGTCTTCTGAAAACCTGGGCCTCGCAGCAGCACAGAGGAACATCACTTTAGTGATGTATCTCTTGGATTTGCAAGTCCTGTGAGGCTCCTCTTTCCCTGAAAGCAAGTAGTACCTCTATGAGGTTTTGGTCATATAAAACTATTTTTCATCTACATGCACGTAGTTTAACGTGGGGTCAAACACTGGTTGTCTTAACATTGATGATGAGACTATGTGTGAAATGAATCATTCAAGCTTCTTAATCACCTTTTAATAATGGTTGTGTTTTGAATTCACCTTTTTGTACGAGTTTGTGCACAGTTGTTTTGGGATATCCCATGGCTGCAGCTAAAGTCCTAATGTTCTTTCTTTTATCAAGCTCAATGTCCTTAACGTGATTAATAGGTAGAATCTTTGGTTTTCTACCTACCCTTCCATCCATCTATCTATCCACATTTACAGGTATACCTTTCATCTCACATTTCTTTACTTTCTGCCAAATAAATGAGATACACCTTTGTGACACGTCATGCTTTTGTGTAAGTGCAGATAATACTCCTTTGTTGAGCACTCCATTTGAGGAGTTGATGAGAAGATGCGGCAAGATTCGTTACCTTGATTCATTTGACAGTCTTTTCTTTTTTTTGAATAATTTCAGACATTTCCTTGTTCTTGTTGGTCGTACTTTATCTATTTTGAGAAAGCTTTTGTCGTATAGATAGACATGTAATCTCTGTGTTGTTTTTTGTTTTTTGGAGGCAGTGAACAAATATTTTAGGAATTCCTTCCATTAGTGGAGTGGAGTAATTGGTCCCATTTAATTTGAGTGGCCGCTGCTTTGTACTGTATGTAGTAGTCTAAAAAGGCTGCTGCTTTTTGCTATTTAATACCCCTTTTGAAGCTGTCAAAGTCAAACAATGCATTTTCCTAACCCGTGTGCCCGGTCACAACCGAAGTTTTTTATGGGGCGGAGGGAGTAATAATATCAAAATTTAACAACAATAATGACATTTCAAAGATTAGACTAAATAATAAAATTAAAAGTATTAAGGAGTGGGGAGTTGTGGTTGTCTAGGTGGTTACTCTGTTCTTGTCGGCTCGTGCATCCGTCCATGAATATGTGTATCAGGAGTATTTATATTATTAAAAAACAAGTCCAATACTTTTATTAAATTAAGGATACAAGCCCAATACATACAGAATGTGTATTCACGAATACCGGTGTCGGATAAGTATCGAATACGCGGATATGGCATTTGGGGTGAAATATTAGTGCACCATACTTGTCGAGGCATAAGCAAGAATGTGGAATAAATTATACTTATGGTTCTACGAGTATTGCACCAATTCCATAAGTGGCCCGTGTTTTTTTGACCATTTTTGGTACATTATTTTTGTTTTTCGCCTGATCCTATTGATATTATTGGTGGTTAAAATCGCCGGAGAGGCGTCAGAAAGTTGGACGATTTGGTAGGACGTGTTGCCAGTGGAAACATATTTATTCAAGTTCCAATCGATTTAGTATGAAGCCGAGTGAGTTCCTTACAAAAGAATAAAAGCTCTAACACGTTGAGTTGTTTTTTGTTAAAGGTGGAGGCACCAATCTCTTCTAGTGAATC